GGAGAGCGCCAGGGAAAAGCATCAATGCAGAATCGATCACAGTGACGTTGCTACCAGATGGACAAACAGAAAGGTTGTAGTCACTCTTTTACTTGATGGACTTAAAAACATCCGCTTTAAAGGTGTCTGTGAGCTGTTTGAAATAAAATGATCCCTTTGTTACAACTCTGGTTTTGTTTCAAGGCCCTCCCCGCTGATACGATGTCACGATTGTACCATTGTTACCCTCTGAACCCGTGTTCCAATAAGACGCCATTACAGGCCAAACCATTTCTCACTGATCTCATTTTCCGACATTCAATCTTCAATCACATTCATTTTTTTTCACTCACTAGTTCAATTGCCAGACAGTTGTAAACACGTCACAGGTTCAAACCAATTACAATATCTGAATCTAATTATTTGGAGGTGAAAAACAGATTTGGCCGAGCATTACATGGGGTTTTGCGCAATCGTTCAATACCACAAGGTTGGATAAGGACGAATGTTCCTTTTATCCTGGTTGGCTTTGTCTTATCTGAAAAAGCTTGTGATTCTATCTTGACCTTGTGTTGTATTTCATGACAAAGCATAGTTTTAATGGAGTCTAGCTGTACTTGTTTTGGTTCCTGCTGTCTAGCTGGAAAAACATCCACGCTCGTCGTGTCTGCTCCTGTGAGCCTTTTGAAACTACAACTACGCATCCGTGGAAACACAAACTGTTGGTGCTGCAGAAGTGGTTTAGATCATTAGGCATGCTGAGGGGGACTCCCTGTGCCAGATGTGCTGCGCCTCTGGTTCAGCTGTGGGACAGACACGCACGCTGACAAGAGTAATTAGCTCTGCCGTCCGGGGAAAACCTTCAGGAAACTCATTTAGGGAGAAGGGTGAATCCCCATTAATGTTCAGGTAAAGAAGCTGTTTCTGCCTGGTGTCATGTCCGAGTTCAAGAGAGGACCAGAATGCAGCATTAGTTCCTGCACTTCTGTACCCAGTACCACAATGAAAATGACAGTTAAATATTTGTAAGGATTAAACGCTTAAAGATATTTTCTTTAATAATCAATGTGTTTTGTTGGATGTTGTTTTGCCCCGACTTGAACTGGAGCCTCAGCTGATTTTACAACTAAAAACAGACAAATTATCTTTACTTGTGCTGAAATGCTTCCTTTCTCTGGTTTACAATATAATTGTATGACGTGGCCACCACAAAATATTTTCTAAAGCTAAAACAAAAATATCAACAACTATATATGTCGTTTGTGTTACACTATTTTACTAAACCTGCTCGGCCTGCGGATACATTGTTCCAGACGTGGATGACGTCCCCTCTCCGGAAACTCATTGTGTTGAATGAACAATGTTAATACAAAGACTCGTGACTTTGTGACTGAGCTGCTGACGGTGTTAACTGACAGCCAGCTCGCTCAAAGAGCCTTTCCGACGATTCTTTTGAGCCCAATCTGCTCAACGCTTAATAATAATGTGAAAATGACTTGTGTGCTGCTAATTACTATATTTGCATCCAATTTTATTTATTAAGATGTGTATGGAATTAAATCATGATTTTATGTATCTCATTTCACAACCCAGATGGAAAACGTTTATTTAACTGGAATAGAAAACTCAGTTATGGGTATTAGTCTCACCTTCGTGTGCAGCTGCCGCAGCTGCCATGAGGTCAGAGGCGTGTGTGCAGTGATACAAAAGTGCAAAGGTGAACAGGAAGTTAGTCTTTGCCAAATGTCAGCCGGTCCTCCACATAAAAAGACCATGTGGCAGTAGAGGAAATGCAGGGCAGAGGGAGGCGCTTGTACTAAAAACTGAACAAAAGGCAGATTGACCTGGCGCTCGCAGATAAATCCATCAAAAAGAGATTTCATCTAAATAAAATAAATCCCCTCCCTAAGTTCGTGCTCACCTTACTTTTTCATTTTGAAGTATTGAGATAATAACACAAACAGTGATGTCCATTTTTAAATGTAATCCCATAGTAAAAGGGGATCTCTTCCGTCAGATGAATACAATGGAAACAGTCACTGCTCTTCATGTCGGAGGATTATGATCATAAGAGTTAAATCCAGATTGTGCTTCCCCGGTTAGTTGTACAGATCCAATGTCACCCAGACACAAATAAATGGTTATGGACAAGCTTACAGAATGGAAATTTGAATCACTGTTCTTAGGTATTATCTAAGGAGAAATAAGTTGTATCGAAGGGGAGAGAGAAGGAAGAAAGGGATGAACATGCCTCACGTCACCTGCCTCTTTTGTCCACAGCCTGTCAGCTAACATCTCAGCTAACACAATGTCCACAAAAGGGATGCAGTCCTCAGTTTGCATGCACTTCGTTAGATGGATTGGATCTATCTTGTTTAAATTAGATTCATTACTGTCTAGTTTATTCTCTGATGAGTAAAATGCTTCAAAGAAATAAAGTCTCACTGTGAGGATCTCCTAATATGGCAAGCTGCAATTTGCAACTACAAACATGTTTTGAGGAAAGATGGAGGACATTTACTATCAACGACAAACAATCTTTCAAAGCAATATCCTTGTAAATGTTCCTTTATCAAGAAGACAATTGATCAAAAATAATTTAAACAATTACTCAGCGTTTTACTCAAACTTGGTGCCAGATGAAAAGAGCATAGCCTGTTTTTATTAAACTGCTGCGACGTGTTTAAATGGTAGTTTCAAAGACAAAAAAACGAGGAAATGGCGAATCCTTTGAGATCAAAGACAATCGTTTCAAGGAAAATGTCCTGGAAAAGAGCTGATGGTTGGAGATAAGGATCATTGAGAGTCTTCTATGAAAGCGAATCCACTTCTTGACTTAGTTCATCTCAGGACTTCTGAGGATCAAGGTCTCACATGACCAAGGAACACAGGAGTGTGACCTTAATGGTTTTAGGGGGAGAAAATGACTTCCCACAACAACCAGGGGCGAAAAGTGACACAAGCGCTTGATTCAGCCTGCAGGATGGAGGGAGACGTGTCGGAGGATGCAGAAAATGGAGGAGTGAAGAGGTGTAACTAAGCATTTGTCGCTTTCAGGTCATATCTGATTAAAGTATATTGGTCCAGTATGACGGGTCATTTTCATCAGGCAGGCAGATCAACCAGAGCAGCACAGACTAAGATGCTTTGTTATTCAGCAGGATCACGGGGGTTTGTCCTCTGCTGCCGTCACAAGGCCCACTGATTGACGCAGAAATGAATCTCATCCATTCTCCATCTCAATTAACCTTCTACATGCTAGGTTTCAGAAGAAAAAGAGTTTAGTAGACGGGATTAAGAATGGTAAGTATGAGATGGACTCACATGCTCGGTTTGTCTTAAATATACGGGACTTAATAACCTACTGGACTTAATCTTGTATTAATAATACCTTTAGCAGCAGCAAATATCTGTAAATGTCCTGATAAGACGGATACATTTAAAGCACGTGTTCCTGGTTCACGGTAAATATTAACAGTATTTAGAGTTGATCAATTGCTTTAATATTCTGAGTATGCCAGTGAACAAGTGAAGCTGCAAGGAGATGACATTCAGTTTGAGAATCTTGATTGACAAAGTTGAAAATCTTAAAGAGACGTTCCTCTTCAGCTGTGATAGCTAAACGGTGACTCACTGGATGCCAATATATTTCCTCAGAGCTGATCATTGAACGGCAGATGAGATCTTAATTGAGTCGAGCGTATATCCCTGGGAAAAGAAAATGGAGGGAAAAACAGTCTTCGGATCCACAGAGGCACTGAGAATATAACCAAAACAATGGCACTTTAATCAAATAGCATGTTTGTCTACATAGTTTTCCATTTGCTATGTGTTCAAATATTTTTATTCCTTTTTTATGGCAAAAAAGTACTGTTGGATCTACTGTCCTGGTGCTGTGGGCACTACTTGAAGATTGCAGCTATCCAGAAGTAATCAATGTCTGTAACAGATTTACTGCAGCGAGTCTCTACGGATGACAATGTAGGTCACCCACCAATTTTAGTCCAGACTGGACCAACGACTACTGGATGGATTGCAATGACATATTTATAAAATGAAAATATTGATGTATTCATGATCTCCAGGGAAAGAAACCCAACAACTTTGGTGATGCACTGACCTTTTTCCCTGTCACCACCTACAGGTAAAGCCTTTCACTGATCTACTGAAATATCACATTGGCATATGTCCTGATCCCTAATGCACTTCTCATGTTTGGTCAAAGATGTTTTTTTGCGGGGGTCTTTTTCCCTATCGGCCAGGTCAGTATGGCCTACTACAAATTTCCCTTCCAATTACTCAATATTTTGAGTAGCTCCTCTGCTTAATTGTTTAGATGAACAGTATTTTTGTCAAAGGTAAATGCTAAATTAAAACTTTTTTTATGGAGCCAAATCCAGGTGAAACGTTTTGATCTCATGATTACACGCCCCTCCCAGTTGATGCCCCGCCCCCTAAACGCCACATCACCGTCAAAAGTCTGAATGTGAAAAAAAAAGATCCAAAGGAGAAAAAAAGATCTGAAAGTGAAAATATAAGTTGAATATCTGAAAATTTAAGATTTGAATGTGAAAATTTAAAAATTGAATCTGAAAATATAAAATCTGCAACGGAAAAATATAATACAGTGAATATCAAAAAATACATAGTATTTGCATTACAAGTGCAGAATGGAAAAGAATATATTATTCCAAAAATATAGAACTGAGTCAAAACTATATTGAAAATACTTTTCCACTAATTTTTTATTTTAACTACATTGTTGTATTTTTCAATGCTCAAGACCTAAACTTAAATCTTCAGGTTCACATTTGTTTTTCAAATGAACAAAACTTTTGACTTGGATTAGGCTCCATACATTTCCTAGGTGTTGGGGTACATTTTTGTTTTTAGTTTGTGAACATCCTTTACATACATTTTTATTTCCCCGTAAACTTTTGCGCACGTTCCAACCGCAGAGCGCCATCACTCGCTCGACTGCACTTTCCCTTCAACAGCCAGTTTATAGCTGAGAACACTTGAACTCCCCTCAGAGGCTTCAGAGTGATGAAGGTCAACAGGAAAGGATATCAAGTGTCTCCCGGTGCCCCTGCTCTCCCACACCTTTATTTAATGGGGCACCTCAGAGCGAAGGAGGCGTCGTGACGCTTTTCATTAACACTGAATGTGACACAGATTCACAGATTCCTGGCTTCGTCATCCGGGATTTACGCACTTTTTGGGACGGGAAGAGATTGACGACACATTTTCTGGCACGCGTCTTTTGTGTAGCAGTGTGTGTTGTAGTGTGCCACTACGTTGTTTCCTATTTCACCATTGGAACTAAAGCAAATATCGGGCACTACGTTCCTGCGTTATTGGTGCGTAAAGGCTCCGCAGCCTTAACAAGGCGTTCTGCGTTTCGTCAGTGAAAGCTGGGTAAGTTTTGCACCGATGAGTTCCTGGCGGACACTTTGGCATCCGAGATAACCTGACGGATTTTAATTAACACAATCTGCTACTTTCAAGACAATTTTGGAGAACCTTCTGTGCCTCGATCTGTTTTCATTTCATTTCAGCGATTTCTTTACGCTATATAGATCTTGCAAATGGACACCTCGCTGTGACGATCGCGTGGGAGAAACAATGTTTTTATGTAACACAAGTGCCATAAAGGACTGGAGCTATTTTCTGTCTCAGATTTTACCTTTGCTGAATAAAACCACACGCCTGGCCAGCATGGACCAAGCGGAGGACGTTACGACCACCATGGTGACAGCTCTGCAGCCGGATAGCGCCATGAGCGCAAGCAACCCGCCCCTCAATTCCAACCATACCTCTGGCATGGAGCACGTCTTTCAGTACTCTTATTCCGAGAGTGACCCGCTGTACACAGACTCCCGGACACGAGACTCCATCCCGCTGCCCAAAGCGGTTCTCTACCTGGTGATGGCAGGGCTGGTGGTGGTCGTGGTAGCCTATGCGATAGTTGGGCACCTCGTCAAAGATGTGGTTAATGAGTTTGTTGGTATGTGACCCCATCTGTGTGTGTATTTCCGTGTGTGTGTGTATGTGTGTGTGAGTGTGTGTGTGTGTGTGTGTGTGTGTGTGTGTGTGTGTGTGTGTGTGTGTGTGTGTGTGTGTGTGTGTGTGTGTGTGTGTGTGCGCGCGCTTGGTGTGCGTGTGTACTCCCACTAGATTTACTAAGAGCAGGATGAAAAGAATTGGAGTTGCAGTCACACAGTGTGAAGAAAAGGTGGTAACGGTATAGAGACAGATAATATACAGTTATAAGAAATATATATATAAATATATAAATTAAAGCTGTACTACAGTTGTGTATTGAAGACTGTTTTAAAGACTTAAATTCAGACGCTGCCAGAGAACTAACAACATAGAACACAAACATCTTAATTTATAGATGAATGAAGAGACTCTGGAGCGATCAGGCGCTTTCTTAATTGAATACGCACATTGACAGTTTTTTGGGTAAACCGTGTAGAGGATTTAGTAAACTCATAAAAATCCGACATTGTAAAATCCGTTGTTCTGTGCTCAGCCAATGACCTTGTGAGGAAGAAGACATCCTGACAAACTACACAATCACCAAGTGTTTGTATGAAAAATGGAGAAGTCTAATGTGTCACTATTTCTGAAGAGCATCCTGTGGGTGATACATAATGAATGAATGAATGAATGAATAAGTCTATTTTTACGTTTCATAGTGCTGTCATGATTTGACAGCCAGTGTATTTCATCAAAGGATTTAAAGCAAAATGGAAGATTTTGCTCAGTAATGTTTCACATTTAAGCAGATCAGGACAGCAGCAAGGGGCCCCAAAATGAACGGAAAACGTGTTCTGTGTTCGACACCTTTCATAGTTTAAGTACTTAAAGATGCTCTCTTTGAGGTAAAAAAAATACCCTCACAGAGAAATATAAATACTTATGAGAATGTGACCACCAATTTATTCACATTGCAGCAGATTTTGAAGCGACATGACAACGGGGATCCTACAATAGTCTTGGAACAATGACCAATTGCTAGTAAGAGTTTTATCACAGTTATTGAAGTAATCTATTGATGATTACTGATGAGACAGTAGTTGTTGTCCTGGAGGACTCCTCTCTCGCGCCTGGATCAGGGCATCAGTGAGCTCCTTGACAGGTGAGGCCAGTCAAAGACATCAATAGCTTTGTTGTGAAGGAACCTCTTTCACACTCTGGCCACACGAGGCAGTACATTGTGCTGCACCAGGAGGCATTCAGGGCCCAGTGCAACAACAATGAGTCTGAGGATTTCATCCTGGTACCTAACAGCAGTAACGGTTGGCTAGCTAGGCGATAAGGATTCGCTTCCCCAGACCGTTCGCCATCACCGACCCACAGATCCTGCTGGATGATATTGCACAACTATAGGACTGACAGTTTCTGACAGTTTGATGGAAACATGCACACGACTGACGTCCTAGGTCATTTTGTAGGGCTGTGGCAGTGCTCCTTGAGTTCCTCTTGCACAAAGGAGCAGATACTGATCCTGCTGTTGGACGGCTGTTGCACTTCCACAGCACTGTCATGCCCTCCTCCTGTAACGGCCCGTCTGATGGTGCCTCCTGTCTCAAAACTGCGACAGATTTTAGGATTGTGCCATCTTGGATGAGCTGGACTACATCTGCAACCTAAATGGACTGAAGGTACTTAATCATTCTCGTGACAAGGGCACTAGCAAAGTGCATAGGGAGAGAAAAATCAGCCATGAAGGACGAGGAGAGATAAAAGAATTATGGCCACAACTTGCAAAACCATTCCCTTTTTGGGGTTTTTCTTGCTGATGCAACTCCTATCCAACTGTTGTTTGCATCAAAACAGGTGAAACTGATTCGCAAATGATTTTTAGCTGGACAGAATTGTATCCCAGAATTTGAATTGACGTTGTGTTATACTGTGTTTAACTGCTCTCTTTATTTTTTTGAGCTGCGAGAGAACCAAACAACTTTGTGACAATGAGAGCACAGTTTTTGGTGTTTTTTGGGAGCTGCCAATTTGAATTGTTGTATCGGGAGACCAGTTTAGGTGTGTTAGTTAGTAAAGTTAGTTCTTTACCAAAAAGACAACAACTTTCTATCAGGCTGGTGGGTGTCTGTCACAACTGTGCAACATGACACCTCATACATAGTTCTGGTTAACAGTTAAGCCTAATTGATCCGTGCATACGTGGGTAAATCAATCTCGGAGAGGACTAAGGGGCTCTAGCCGGATCACACTCAGTCACATTGTCCCACCATGCGTGATCTTGTGTGTTTCAATGACTTTTTTTTTTTTAACTAATTTCACGAGACACAGATGGAGTTGTGGGCAGAGTCACTAACATGCCTGTTCTTTTGCTCCCTGCTTGTAGGTGGAAGCAGGTCGATGGTTGTTGAGGGTGACGCTGGTGAAACTAGTGAACAAGGTAAAAAACAAAGCTCACATGGTTCACAGTCTGCAGCACTTTGCTTTGCCACAGAGACAGACTGGCCCTGTTTCAATTTGACAGCAGTGAGAGCTTATCTTTCTGTCTCTCACCCTCCACATGTAAACTCACACATACACCGGCGATGCAGTGTTTTGCCTCTCAGGCTTTTTGCTGAGGGGGACATGTGGAGGATTCATGTTTTAAGCAGTAAAGCCTCCTGCTCACAGTGGATACTTCACTCTATCAGAAAAGCAAAAAAACATGTTGTAGACATATTATGATCCATTGTATACTATAATGAATAACAAGAGGACACATAAGCTATTGATAATTATTTATTATAATGTTATTATGTTATTTTTATATGCATTGAGATATTCAGCAAGCTATTTCAGTTATAGTAGTAGTTGTAACCTGTAAGTAATAGCAGTAAGTATCACAGGGGTATCAAATAATAAAAAAAGCATCACACACTTAACCTGAAAGTGAGTGTGGAAAAAACGAGATAGTTGAAAGTGAGGTGGTCCCTTGTGGTCATGTTTCGGTTCTGTGGGTCTGAGGAATTCCTTACTGCCTTCACACTCGCAACTGCCAGCCTTAATCTCAGCTCCTCATCCGACAGAACAATGATTGATGTGTCCCAATTCAAACAGGCTCCACCGCTCGTGATGGGGCTGCTGTGCAGCAGACTTCTCCCCCAGAAACAATTTTATGGTGCTGTGCCTCTAATGGAATTACAGAAGCTGAACCCATCGTAGCTTTCTGTCAGATGAAGTGTGCAGTCATGTTGTGTGCATGTTTTAAATACTCAGATCGCCTGACTGAGGAGCTTTGTACATGATTCCATCTGTGAAGGCTAGTTGAAAAAAAATACTTTTTATATAGGTAAGAAAGCTACAATATATTGTTTTGTTTGAGTTTTTTGCAATTGTAAATCTAAAATAGTTATTAGCTCAATCTGAAGGTGAAAGAAGTCAGTTTATTTTAGTTTTTTGAATATTTTTATTGTGGCATAAATAACCTTGGGTTTTGAACCCTTAACTGAATAAGCATTTGCTATGATATGTTTGTATGATACATATCATGCAGTAACAGTATTATTATAAAATTGACACGCTCTGTGTTACATTAAATTTAAGTACATTGAAGTACTTTTATTTGTATAATGCTGCAAGATCTTTATCAATAACACCAAGGTACAGAGGAGACTACAATCTTATCAATATAACTATAAAAAATGAAAATCTCCTTCTCTTTGACTCAGATTGACATTGTTAAATTTGTACTGACTCCCAGAATAACACCACTATTATCTCTCTTCAGGCTGGGTGTGTGGCTCTCGCGGACTTACTAACTGCAATAATACCGAGATAAACTGCATATCCAACAACATTAACGTGATGGGTGAGCTGGCCGAGAGACCCCGGCTGTTGGAAATGAGCTACATATCCCTGAACCACACAAACTGCCTGAGCGCCGACAGACCGGAGGATACAGCAGTCACCATAGATGAGACTTTACAGCGGCGACCACCGGACACCCACTCTGGGACTTAACCTGTGATCTTCTGACCCATCTCGAGAGATATAAAGCAGCGCGTTAGCTTGCATTGCTTGCCCAAGTGGATTTCACGAATGGAAGCTCTCTCCACTGTTTTATCACGTGCAGGTGGACTGTAATACTTGTGTAATGTTGGGCAAGAGAAGAATTTAGATAGTCTTTACTTGAATGTTGGAGGAATTGAATGATGATGTTTGTATCATATCGGCCTCTTTTCTGTGGAGATTGCTAGTTTGAGCGGCTTCAGCTGTTTTTGGCCAAGGAGGCAGAGAGACTAACGTTTTTTGTGTTAATGTGACATATGCAGTTCAGAGTAACAAAAAAACAACAATTAATCACTCTGAATGTACAATACACGCTGGTCACTGCTTACAGTTATTGTAATTATTGTAAGATTTGCGTCAAAACGCTTCCAATGACACAGGAAGGCATCAAATGTTAACAACCTCGCCATTTGTTATGTAATAACGCTGAAACTACTGCTACATGACCATAAAATGGAAGCATTTTGTAGTGTCATGCTCCAGTTAAAACAGAGAAGCTGAAAGTATTGGGGCCATTGTAAAGAACAAATTAAACGTAGTAACCTTTCTTGTTAAATGTCTGAACACGGCATCACCTTTGAAGCAGAACGTGTTCATTGTTTGTTCATGTTTAATGTTTAATATTTCCTGCAAAAATGGCTTCATGCCAAAGCCTTTGTTTACCTTTCTTACCTCACCGTTAAGGGCTATGTACTGTACTGTCCATGAGTTTGTGACATCACTACGCTACAACAAATAGTTGCTTATTGGTCTGTGCATGCTGTGATCATTGTGCTCTGCGCACACTGCTTCTGTAAACTCTGTGTTTGGAAAGATAAAGTGAACTAAAGTGGCTGAACAACACTGCTCTGATCAACTGACGGCAGGATAGAATCACTACTTAAAGACTAATTGGGAGCCTGTTCTATGTTACTGATGGACTACTTTCTCTCTCAGATTTACACATGTGCATGTTTGAGGTGACACAGAGTAAAGTGATGCTTTCAAGGGACCTATTTTAAGTGTATCATAAAACAATTATGTAATTGTATAGCAGAGGTAATTTTCATATTGATGCCGTCAACCCCGTTTAAGTCATCCAATAAATAGTCTTGAGCAAAGGTGGTGGAAATCACTTCATTATTATTTTCATACCCGATACCGACTCTGACCTCTGGGCATGTGCACATGCCTAATATCTAACAATAAATGAGTTAGTACACTGAAAAAAACTAAGGTCCAATAGAATATCAGTATTCACAGAGAGAGCATTTAACTTCACACTGAAATAATAAACTATCAATCTGAGAAGCTATAGAGCTTAAGTTAGATACGCCATTTCTTTTGTTTGTCAATGGCTTCCTTGAGCAAACAATCAGACAAATTTAGTGACTCAATATAAACATGTTTTACATTTTTGTATCTTGTTTTTAATTTATCTATTTTACTTCTCACCATGTAAATATATTTGTACATACGCACTTTAACATACTTATCTTATTTGTTTATATTCTTAATTTTTGCTTGTATATTTTCATCTACATTTTATTCTTATATTGCAGACAAATTCCTGTGTAAAATACACGGCAATAAATGGCTTCTGATTTTAACATGCAACCCTAATTTAATGCCCCCAGATGAAACTTGACCTTGAAGATGGATACTGCAGAATGTTTTACCTTCCGTGACAAGTTCCAGTCTCAGATGTTCTTCAACGCAGTGACCAACTGCTGTGATGATGCAGAGGAAATACTAATGAGCACGGCACCCTGCTCACACACGTATTACGATATCAATCAAGTTCTATTTAAGTCTCCAGCACATCTCGGGCAAACGCTGATGGGATTCCACCAACGTTTCATATGTCCAGCCGTGCTGGAGGTTGGTCCAGACTTACATTTCTAACCTCAATCCCTTTCTCTGGTGTCTGCGGCTGCAGCCTGCAGCTTCTTCTCAAAGTTACCTCCGTGTCATAGAGAGCGCTGGGGTTATCTTGTCTAATGTATTTTAAGAATTACGATACTTTTGCTCGAGTAAAATTTTCTGTGACTCTTAAAAGTACCACATCATTTGAAACATTTGAACCTGGAATATTTATGGTCAGTTTCTGACTGATCCTTTCTAGAAAATCTACATCTCAACAACAGTTCTGATCGATTTATTCACAAGCATTTGTGCCTGGCTCTGTTCTGAGGACAAACTCTTGAGTCTGTTGGTACTGGTGTCGGGTGCCCTTACCGTTAAAAAGGTGGACCAGGAGCTAATGAAAGAGCAGCAAGAATTGCCAGCAACCCTGTTCACCAGGTACCCATCTGTTCCAAAAACCTTCCCCTTCGCCCCGACCGCTGTCGCATCAGCAGCTTCGCCCCTAGAGGAGTGAAATTACTGACTCGTGTCACTTACAAGCTTGTTGTATAGAAAGGAAAAAAATGTTTTAAAAGGAAAAAAAACAAATTTTCAGGATATCAAACCATTCTAGGATTTTATTATATATGAGATGAATAATTCAGTGTGCAAAAGATTTTTTTAATTTTTGGGTAGTTAGCGTAATTTGTTAGTAGCTCAAATCAAGATGTGGTTACCTACCTTTGTATGCACAATTTCTCAACTAGTATTCATCAATTATCATTTGATTAATGTCTTACACCGCAAAATTGACATTAGGACATTTTAAATGTTCAATATCTATTTACTTGAAAGGCCAAAAGTGCCCCCATGTGGCCAAATAACCACAAACCTGTAGAGAGAAACCAGAAACATATTTAAAAGCAGTGACAAAGTTTGTTTTAAGTGTGATTGAAATGAAAAGTGCAGACAGAAAATTGATGTAGGGAACTTTAGGCATATCATATCTGATCATGAGAAAGTCTATCTGTCAACAACATACTCTTAATACAACCTCTCTCTGACTGGTACAGACTCAATGACATCAGGTAATATTATTATGTTCATACAATGTAGTTGTGTCCGAACACGTGGAACTAAAATAAATTAAATCAGGGTGAACAAGTAGACAACAATGCTGCGTAAGTTTGGAAACGATTGCTGAAAAATGGTTTCATTGTGAGGAAGGAAAGAAGGCAAGAATTATGTGATAATAATTCAGCCAGGACTAACATAATAAATACATGTGAAATTCTGAGTCAGCCGCTACTTGTACTCACAATTTAAGGCTCAACCTGTAATTATACGATGCAATTGTTATAAAAACAAGCACAAAAGAAATTCAAGCAGTAATAATCCAGCAAGTGATTGTTTGCTTTGCACAGACGGATTAAGCAAGTAACACGTTTTAATACAAACATATCATTAAAAGAGTTACATAGATAACTGAGTCCCATATGATAATGCGTCAGGACCCACATTTAGCCTGCACTTACTTCGCTTTGCATGAGTCTTTTTTTGGAACCATACATTGAGTATATGTAACTAACAATGATTTTGACTTGAGTTTATTTATTTATCTCAATGTGGCATCTCAACTTGTAAACATAAACAGACTCACAGCTCAAGACAACGAGAAAGCTGAAAAAGGTCACCATCACAGACACAGGTTACATAAAGAAATATTCATACGTATTTCAAATAGTACACACTGCTGTATACATACTTTGTCAATAAAACATCAATGACATTTGATGACAGGATAATATCTGAACTGTAAAAGCAACATGTTGCTTTATATGTGCAATGCTGTTTGAGGTTACGATACGTTGAGCTTTGATTTACATTTGCCAGTGACGCTATGAACATCTTAAAGCGACTGTATCTGAACTACAAAGATCTTCAATGAACAAGTACAGTGGATGTTTAGTGTTAGTGTTATTGCATGTTCATGACACAGTGACTCACACCGACAGTTTTTAAGAGTTAAACAGAAACACTACAACTAAAAAGAAGGAAGATTATATATTTAATTAATTTGTAATTTTACAAGACAGGGTTGCATAATTATATATCTGTAGTAACTCATTCATTGTGGTCTGTGTGGTTACAATCGTTTATTTAATCAATAATTGATAAATGGATAGCCTTTTTAAGGCAATACTGAACAACACATCCATGTAAAGTCTCATGTTATCCCTCCATTCTAGACAATCTGCAGAGCATTTCCTTTAAGTATCGTATAATGAATGTACCGGACCAACACACTAACTTGATGACATGAATTGGGCAAGAGGAAGAGCAAGTGAACTCACTGTAATTCAGAATTTTCCTGCCTACATAAAACAGAATGAAGCTAGAATCGTTCATGGTCGTGTTTTCAGTTGTTTAGGAGGTGGAGCTTCTAAACTTTTCGGAGCCCGCTCGATGCCATAGCAACGAGCCACCGACTAGAGGGACGCCTGCAGCGACTCGCTATTGGTCAGATTTGAGCATCGTTCAGCCATAATCCGCCACGTGATTTGTTACATCCCACGTCACTCTCACAGGCGTCTCGGTGATTGGCTGTCGTTTTCATTCGCAGCCCGTCTCGGTGAATAAGCTCTTGCAGGGGCACACAAATCCGAGAAAAAAAGGAGAGCAGTGGAGTCGCTAGCATAATGTAATGAGGCGGGGTTGTTTTGAGGAGTTTAAAGTTGTTCGCGTAACTGTACCACTGGCTGACTAACGAATGGTTGCGTTTTCTTGGAAGTTGGATGACATGTAGTGACTTTTTGGCCGCCTTTGTCGTTACCTCACGATGGAGGAACCTGCAGCGAGGCAAGTGGTGAAACCGCGACTCGTTAGCCAAACTTTACTTACCGTTCATACTTTAGCGTGGTATCGATGACGCAATACTAACAATCACCATTAAAAGTGGAGACCTGTGTTTAACGTACGGGGGGGGGAGCGCACATCAAGTAAGTCGAGTCTAAATAGCGGCCGGTTTGTGTTAAAACGAAGTTGCCATCAACAGAGAGTCGGACATGTCCCTGTCAGACGGCAACGTCACCTCGGATGACGAGATGCCCTTAACGTTGCCCACCGACGGCAGCCTCAGCGGGAGCACCCGGAAGGTGAGACACACACACACACACACACACACATACACACACACACACACACACGGCAAGGCACGTGACGGTATATACATCTACACCAAGCCGAGGTATTTGGTAAACACGAGGAAAGGGTCAATGAATCAGTTGCTTTAAGGTACCTGTGGACATCACGCACCCTGATACCGTTCTGTTGTCCCTCCATCTGTTGTTATCCGTAGCTGTGGGCCAAATACATAGGATACAAAAGAACTGGAACCATGTTAAGTGGAACCCAATTTTGGGTGGAGTTAAAAGGAAAAATGCAAAGGAATGATTGCAAAACATAACAGGAAAGTGTCTCTCAAGAAACGCTTGCCTGCTTCCTCTGGATGATCCACAAACATCACCGTGAACTCTTTTTCACACTTTGTTCAGCACAAAGACCCAATGGAAGATGTTGACCGTGAAGTCTGTAGATTGTGCTGACAAAAAAGTGTTTTTTGGAAGTGTACATTTTTGCTACTTTTTAGCAACAAATCTATTATTTGGATCCCCTCCTTCTTTTTTGTTGTGGTAGCGTCACGAACGACAGAGGAGGGTGGGTTTGAAAAGGCAAACTGCATTTGCTCCAACGCTCACGATCATACGTTATAAAGGCAAAGTCACTGGTTCAAACGGGGAAAAACAAGGTTTGAGAAAATTAATGATTACATACACGGTGCCCGCATGCCACTTCACCTTCTGCTGCTTGGGCTGCTTGAAGCAGCGACTTCTAACTGCACCCGGAGTCGGTATAGCTGGAAAACCCGAGAAAGTCACCTGAACAAAGAGGTTTTTTAGACCCTGTCTGCACTGACGTCGGGCGGCAGCCTCCATCCTGCTGCTTCAGCAGAGGTGGGAGCTTGGCCAGGATCCTAATCCACACAGGCACACCGAGGATTACTGGACGAGTGCACGCTAAACAAACACCTTTACTGGGTGAGAGGGAACGAGGAAGATGAAGAGAGGGGGGGCAAGAGGGCGAGAAAGTGAATAACATCCGTGTACACGTTTGATTTGAAAGAACACGATGGAAAGTATTCAATGTGTCATAAAGCTGCTCTGTCATATTTCCATTTTATATGTGTACCGTTTCAGTTTGAAACCGTGGTGCATTGTGCAATAGATGCTGTTTTACTGAGCAGACATGTAACAGACGTGTAATAATCTGCTGCAAAATGCTTGTTGAAGCAAAGACTTCAGAGGCCTTTAAATCTGCAGACAGATTTTCTATTGGGACCTTTTTTCTATTAATCATATTACCCTTGTGGAAAGGAGATTCTCTACCATGTTTAGCATGCACGCCATCATCATCTCTGGCACGCTGGGCTGTGCAGCATAGACCTTTTGTAATGAAGTAAGCCTTTTAGTCAGCTGTCTGTCTACGGCGCGGTGCACTGCCACCTAAAAGCTTTACATGCATAATCTTACAGTTCAGCTGATGGTCAAAGTTGGTGTTAATGCCTCGACGTCATGTTCAGAACGTCTCCTGTAGACAAAAGTAGCAGAGGGCAAAAAACAGCAATGTTGATATTAAAGAGTGTTTTAGTGGCTTTTTAAACCTGCTAAAAATGTACAATACTACTTCCCAATCCAGAAATGTGTGTGTTATGTTTACAGTTGGAGCGATAAATACCCCGGCCTAGTGCAGACTCATTTGTCCCGGGAATTCATGCTGATTGTTCCACTTCTCAGAGAAAGACAAAAGACACTTGTTGGCTGTGTTAGTGGGGGGGGGGGATATTTAACAGACTAACTGCTTATTTGTAACTGTGAACTTGTGCTGAACGCAGGCAGGTGCTATGCGACCTGTTGCTGTTATTCATCTTTTGTCAATTGATCAATTGCTCACTTCTCTTTACTGATCTATTTCTTCATTTCCACTGCAGGGATGTGATCCTTTTGCCCAGACTCAACGCAGCAAACTGCAGCACCGGCGATCTCGCATAAACCAGCAGATCAACAAGGAAATGCGCATGAGAGCTGGAGCAGAAAACCTATTCAGGTGAGGTTCTTCTCTCTAGAATCCTATTTTTTATAGTTGTTTCATCTGTGGAGGGACTTTTCCTGCGTGGAGGATTTTAGAAATGTCACCCAATCAATTAAAGTAAGCTCAGTAATGTTGGAAATAGATCTGTGAGGGGGCCGGTGCGTGTTTCTCACTCGTTTAGTTTTCCGCCTCTGTCAGTTGTTCCAAAGGTTTTATTGTTGGAAACTTTCTCCGACATCAGCTCTTCCTCTCTGAGATGTGAGGATGAACGCTGTTCTAGTCTCCTGTGTTGGTGCCTCTTTGTTAGCCCGTTGGTTCAGTCACGTTTGTGGTGATGTCCTGTGATGGGAAAAGGTCGGAGATCACTCCCCTTCAGAACACACACACACACACACACACAGCAGCCAGTTTATGACTGTTAGCGCTCACCGTGTCTCTAACCATGTTCTGTACGTCTGTGTCTCCTCTCCCTTTTTCCCCACAAATATTCAACTCTGGATCATTTTAAAGTTGAAACACCAACGAGGCTTATTACCCAACTGAAATGTGATGTTTGTCTTTTACACACTGCACAGCAATTTTATTTGTTGAAGAAAACTGTGGCAGAATGTCAAAGTATTCTATCCGAGGACATAAGTGGACTTTATCCCGTCCAGCTTCTGGCATGTGTCACTACCGTTGCTTTCTCCCCCTGAGTAATTCTCAGACTCTGCATCTTGGCATCCACTTAGAGGTCGATTATAACACACGCTGAAAGTAAACAGTTAATGTATGTGCATACATTTGATCCACGCTTTTGTTGTGGGAGCTCTGAGAGCATTCACAGCATGAATAGTTGGCTGTGCAAAACCCTCTGAAAACACACTGCTTTACTCATTAAGATTGAATTTGGAAGAAGGAGGAGGAGGAGGAGCCATTTAATTAAAGCGATGAGCTACTTTCCTCCCCCTCAGTGGTGCCCTGTCAGAATCTAAAAAGATCAACACAGGAAACAACCACGGTTACATCTTAATATTATCACAGGACCTTATGGGCTAATTATGTCATTGATTCATGAATCTTCCGTTTCTGGGATTGATTAGTGAACGCTAGCAGTATAAAATGATTGTCCTTATTAATCAAGCCTATGTACCTTTCCACACGCAACATTTCCATCAGGTTTTATTTTCTTGTTATTAGCTGATAGTGAGTTGCATATATTTACATTTAAACTTCTGGTTGGACAGACTTAACGTCCATGCAAGTTGACCATGTACAAATGTTTCAGTTTGAAGTTGTAAAGAATAATTTGGTATGCTGTGGGGAGCCACCTCCTGCGTCTTGATCGATCCCTCCTCTTCTTAGCCATTTTTAAACAAAAGTGATCCGAAGTTTTAACCACTAACTGGTCTGTCAACACTGCAGGACTGAATGTAATGTTTCTGCATTATCGTGTGTATGAAATGGAAGTGCATTTGACGTTTAACTTTGCAGCCCTTGTGGCCAATCCCTCCGCAAAAACAGTGGATTTCATCTGGTTTGCTAAAGGAAAAGTTAATTTCTTTTGTGTTTATTTATCATTTATTACACAATGGGATAACGATTTTCTTTTTTTCTATCAAACCTTTTGACTGAATCTAGGCTGTGATCCTAAAAGTTGATGACTCGGTTTAGGGGAAATAAAAGAAGCGCTCCTGTCCTTTCTATTGGGTCACAGAGACAAAGAGGACCCCCCTCCCCCCTCTTGCCCCCCTGCACACAGTCTGCCGGCCTGTAATCAGCCGGCTTTGTGTCCGCCTCCTGTCCTGTGCTCACGCAGAGAACCGAGCCCCTGCAAGCTCATCCCCCACTTATTTGTCTGGCACTGTCAGACCTCTTTTCTTTCCATCCTCCCCCCTTCCGGTCAACCGGAGTAGTTGTCACAGACACACACACACACACACACACACACACACACACACACACACACACACACTCCCACACTCGTTCTCACTACATATACTCCTAAACCTTTGTGGAGCTGGGATGAGGCGTGGGTGCTTGTGGGTGGGAGGTGGTATGAAAGGTGGGGGTGGAATGTTAATTGCAGATGAGAGAGAGATTGTAACTCTTTGGAGATTGTGATTGGCTGATGGAGACGTCGGGTTTACTGCCGGCTGTGTTTCTGCGTGGGAATTCAGATGATCGACAGTTACTTGTCTCATTCAGGTCTTCTTATCCGTTCAATTGTTGTTGTTTTTTTTTTGAAAAATAACCCAAGTTACGACTAACAACCTTCCACCCCCTCCACCCGAAGAAGCTGCAGTATGGTGTGCGTGCAATTCGGTGTGTGTGTGAAGGGGTCATTGGCGGCTCACTTAAAGCTGACTAATCAGATCGCCCTTGACTTCATCCTCTTTGTAAATTGAAACATTCGCATCCTTGCTGATTTTGATCTGCGGTTTTGGAGAAAAGCAAAGACTTTGTGGTCCAGATGTTGGATGGGTGTACATATTCATCCTACATTATGGGTAATATTTACATATCCACACACTGCAATTACTTTCAACTTGACCCAGTCTTCCGTGTTCTTCTTTTCTCACCAACTCGTCCATCCGATGAGGCATCTTGTTACTCATTTAGCACAGATTCTTTTATCATCACTTTTATCAAACTGTATCTGATCTAATTTGGGCTGCCCCACCAAAAACATGCATTCTGGTGTCTTTATCTTTATATTTAATGCCAGAATATCTGCCAGAGTGATGCATTCATGTGCTCATTAGTGATGCCTCAGACTTCCAGGAACATTGTGTGTTGTGGACCTCAGAGCCCCCCCAGAAGTGTGAGTTGGCTTTACAACTCCTGGGATTGTGGGTGGGTGGGGGGTGAAGTCACCATGTAAATGAAAAGAGGTTGATGGACAGGAGGGTGGAGCCATGAGATAGTTGTTCAAATTAAAGACAAGCTGCTAGTTGTTTACATCCGTAGGAATAGAGAAATCTAACACACCACACCACCTTTTTATAATGTTAATTGATATGACAGGGATCCATAACATGCCAATACAATGTTAATTCAATTTAAAAGAAGGGAGATAATTGATATGATTGTGTGCCGGTGTGTTGAATTCTGCAGGGCAACAACCAACAACAAGGTGAAGGAGACAGTGGCTCTGGAGCTCAGCTTTGTCAACTCCAACCTGCAGCTGCTCAAAGAGGAGCTGGAGGAACTCAACAGCAACATGGAGGTCTACCAGACAGACAGGTAGAAAGCTCTGACACACACACACACACACACACACACACACACACACACACACACACACACACACACACAGCCACACATGTTGAATTCATCGTGCTTTAAAGGGTAAAATGATTGCCCTATTCACTCAAGATAATGTACTACCTTAGAACCAATTGGTCATTTTTATTAATTGCAATGATCGTCCGCCATCTTCATTTTGTGCAAATGAGCCATGTCTGTAATTTGTGACTACTATATGATGCTAAATTTATGTAAATATTAGTCATTAGCAAATCAGCCCCTCTGGGATTTTTGGTCATTTGTGCACATGATTAAAAAAAATGCATCTACGGTACAAATTCTTGTTACAAGCAAGGAGGTCCAATGTCACTGAAGCAAGGGCACTTGTATATAGAGCACTGTATCTTCAACGTAAATAGGCCAGATAATACAATATAATATAAAGTTTCTTCATATCATATAGTATGATATTTGTAATACAAATGGATATAATGCAGAGCCTTGGTGTCATATTCGGGGAATAATGTCAATGAATATGAGTAAAATATGTATAAAATTCTAAAACTATGTTAGGGATGATTTCTAAATCAAAAGAGTTCCCTAGTAATACTTGTCCTGTACGAATCGGAATATAAAAAAGTACAGTGAGGGAAACTCTAGAGGTGACATGATTGCAGCGCTCAACTCGAGCCTCAAGGAAACGCGATCTGAGAGGTCTTCCCGTTGGGAAATGTTAAAATATTTTTGTTCAATTATGAGTCTGAGGCAGGATTAAAAACACTTTGGTGGGCCGCAACAGTCTTGTAATTAATGGGAAACACTGCACGTACACACACACAAAATCACAGCCTATTTAAAACCCATGTCCCGGTGAATTGTTCGTCCCATGAATTCCAGGTCACTCTCATTAGTCCAATGAGAAATATAATTGGTGAAAATAGACAAACATGCATTGTGTGTTGTGTACTTTCGCTCTGTGGGGACAAATTCATCCTGCGGGCTTTGAGGAAGGGCTTTTTCGTTAAATTCGGATTAGGGCGTCATTATTGGCTGCGTGTGTTGGTTGTGAATGGGAGGGGGAGGGGCAGGAGGGGGCTTTGGAGGGGTAATTGGGCCGTAAGGGTTAATACTTGGCTTTATCCCGTCTATTAGCAGGATGAAGCAGTGAGCACGCTGTGTTTGAAGACTAGCAGATGGCACGATGGCTTGTCTGTACCTGTAACCTGCACTGTGTACACACAGTGTTTACATGTTGGTATTTACACGGGGTCACCTACACAACACATGCTGCAATCATTTCTTTATCTTTACAGTGAGGCTATCAACGTTCCCATGATCCCACTCGGATTAAAAGAAACCAAAGAGGTGGACTTCACAGTTCCTATCCAGGTGAACATGACTCGATCTACTTCTATTATCTAATTCACAAGCTGTGATTAAGCGTTGACTTTATAAAGGGAAAACAACATAAGAGTGGCCCTCTTGGTTTATTGTGACCAACACTGAAGTCACTTTTTCTAGTCAAACATTATATTCATATCAAATTTGGCCTATAAAGTTGACTTTGGAATGTGTCCAAGCTAATAACTAATTTGCGATGATGTAACGGTCTGTCTCCCCTGACAGGACTTCATCTGTGAGCACTACGGAGAGGACAGCTCGCTCTACGACAAGGAGATCACAGAGCTTATGGAGCTCAGACAGGTTAATAAATGCACTCAAACTAAGCACAAGGAAGATCTTGTTCCATATTAGAGCAGGTATTTTTCTTCAGGATGGTTGTAGAAAATCTGTCCAAAACTGAGGATGAAGAAATAAAAAAAAGTTACCGTGCCAGTGGCGTTAGAGGTATATTGATGTGTGTTGTTGTTTCAGGCCATGCGCACACCGAGTCGTAACCAGGCCGGTCTGGAGCTGCTGATGGAGTACTACAACCAGCTGTACTACCTGGACCAGCGCTTTTTCCCCCTTCACAAGAACCTGGGTGTGCACTTCCAGTGGTAGGGCATTTTGTAATAGATTGTGCCATATTGAGTCCTGCTTTACAAGCTCTGAGGCCCCAGAGAGAAGCTGACAGGTGGACATTTATATCCCAGTTTGATTACTTAGTTACTCCGTTATATTTTGTGAGGAATTTTCTGAGCTGTACTTAATCATGTGAACAACCAGCGCAGTGATTGGTCTATAAATATTGTCCAGGCCTGGACTTGTATATATTACATTGCATTACATATATAGGTTTTTTATTTTTGTCATAGCCTTTAATCAATATTTGATCAGGATTAATCACACGATTGTACATGGCTTATTGCAAATGAATCGACCATGTCAGTACTGAATTAGGTTTTTTCTTTTCAAAATGATGAAAGAAGTTGTGGAAAAGTCATGGTATAGTTTGAGAAAATAAGTTCTTTGAATTAAAACTTGTCAATTCTTTCCATAGTACAGTCAAAATCGTTTATGTAGTAACGTGTAAATGATATGTAGAATAGGTTGTAAACCCATTATGTCAGTAGTCTTTGGCACGCAGCATTACATGTAATCCTCCCTCTGCCTCTAGGTACGACTCCCTGACAGGCGTCCCGTCATGTCAGCGTACGCTGGCCTTTGAGAAAGGAAGCGTGTTGTTCAACATCGGTGCCCTGTACACACAGATCGGAGCGCGGCAAGACCGCTCTGCAACAGCTGGCATAGACCGAGCAATAGATGCCTTTCAGAGAGCAGCGGGTAATGAAGCGGTACTTACTTACCTGAAACGTCTCTTCTGTCTTTATTCAGGGATTATTTGTGCGAGTATAAAGTTAGGATGTCTACGTGCAAAACTTACAGCACGAAAACAGCAGCAGTCGGTTCAAGTCATCTGCTATAAGTACTATTTGTAATTAGCAAGTGCAGCAATTATTTATTTTTATTTATTTAATGTATCTATTGTGTAGAGAGAGAGAGAGAGAGAGAGTGGTGGCTAGTGTAAGAGCCCTCGTGGCATCTTCAAACTGCTTTTGTTGTCTCACCAAAAGTTCTATACCTAAAAAGTGGAGGTTTTACTTGCTCGATAAATGCCTGAGTATTACATTTAAACATTTTTTGAATATATGTGTTACTCTTTTCTCTTTAGGTGCATTTAATTTCCTCAAAGAGAATTTTTCCAACGCTCCCAGTTTGGACATGAGCGCTCCGTCGCTCTGCATGCTGGTGCGTCTGATGGTCTCCCAGGTGCAGGAGTGCGTGTTCGAGCGAGTCACACTCACCACCGAGGACACACACTTCACCTCGCAACTCCGCCTGGCACAAGAAGCCGCGCGGGTGAGTCGGCGCGTCGCCGGTCGCCTTGTTACCTCCGGTGCTGTTAACGCGTCTCACCCCGTGTGTGCTTGCAGGTGTCAGACGTGTATCTGTTGGTGCAGCAGACCATGACTCAGCCTCTGATGAAGGACTACGTGCCGTTTTCTTGGGCCTCCATGGTTCAAGTCAAATCAGAACACTTCCGTGCCCTGTCGCACTACTACGCCGCTGCCGCACTCTGCGATCACACGCGTAAGCCGCGTCCAACTGTGCACAACATTTCATTTCCTGTTATTAGTTCACGTTATTGCTGACTTACTTTGAACGTCTCTCACTTTAACAGTCTCCTCAAAGCAAGACAAACGGATGACATTAAACATAAATAAAGATTGACAAAAAGCTGATATGGATCAGCTTTTGTATTGCACACATTAGCTGCCTCTGTAGTGTAAATGAGACAAAAAACACCTTTTAGTGTAGCTTTTTAATGAACTTCATTGACTATCACAAAGGATTCAGTCTTTGGGTGATCCTGACCCAAAGCAATTATTCGTGCACTCACGTTAATGTGAAATGTCTTGTTCTGTAGTGTCTGCTGAGGAGGAGGAGTGCGAAGAGGAAGCAGAGAAAGCTTTCCTCCAGTTCTATGTCGGCGGACCTGCGGGGCCACCGCTCAGCCAGGTGTTACGAGATCCCGAAAAAAGAAGAAAGCTCGGTGAGTAGATGGAATGTGTTTTTTCATTTAGTCCAAATACACAACAGAAACAGACCTACAGGGACGGCGTGGCTTTCTGTCATTAAAAAGAAAAAAAAGCCCCTCAGTCTCTGCATTTATTTTAAATTCCAATTTGTAGAAACATTGTTTTCCGAACATTGGGTTCAAGTATGTCTCCAGGTCAAAGTGGTATGTGCACACATCTTTAGAGACGACGTCGGCCTACATGTCCGTGTGTGCAGGTAAAGCTCACCTGCGGCGTGCAGTAATCAGACATGAGGAAGCCATGCGTGTCCACAGTCTGTGTAAGATCCTGAGGAAGATGGACATCCTGCAGGACGTGCTGTCGCTCACGCACAAACGCTCCCTGGACAAGTACTCTGAGCTGGACAGAGAGGACGACTTTGATGAAACCGCGGAGGCTCCGGAGATCCAGTGTAAGCATCCGTTTGAGTTCCTAATAATGATCTGATTCTCTGGTTAAATACAAGTGATGGTGGTTTTCTTCTATTGTCCTACAGCTCAAACCCATCAGAAACCAGACATCACTCCAACTAACTTCTCTAAAGTCCAAGTTACAGACTTCTTCCAAAGACTGGTAAAGCGCAGTGATTGTATCAATTGCCGGATTTTAGAAAAGCGATTGAAATAAATCATCACCTCCCTGCAGCTCAGCTGAAGACGACTCTTTTCTGTGCTGCAGGGGCCCCTGTCGGTGTTTTGTGCACGGGCCCGCTGGGACCCGGTGCGTGTGGTCTGTCTGCAGAGGAGAGACGGGGGACTGGGTCTCACGCTCAGAGGAGACTCACCTGTCCTGGTGGCTGGAGTGGTGGCAGGAGGCTGTGCAGCAGTAAGAGGAACTCCACCGGCAATCATGTGTATCAGTTACAGCCTAAATGTTTTTTAAAACTCATTTATAACTCCTTTTATTACCGTGCATCTGATTTTTAAAGGGGAGAAGCGATATTTCTGCGTTGGTTCCTTTTTAAGTGTTTAATACGTCATTTGGAACTCATTTGAGTTTTCTTGCCATTCTATTCTTTTTTCTAATGCGAGATTAAGTAATTAAGTGATATGTGTTTATTAAAAGTTTCAAAGAAAAATTGAAGAAAGAATCTCTAACCACTAGAGGATATAACAGAGCCACAAATAAATGTATATAAAAACCCATCTAAGGCTTCTAACAGGGGGGTGGGGCAGGCTAGCTGCAGCCTCAGCGTGTATATTTCAGCAGTAGTTGCTCTCCATGTGTTGGGGATTATTAGTTGCAGAATTTGCAATTGAAAATGTTTGTTAATGACTTCTACTTGTTTCCCTGTGGTGGCGTGTCGCATAGGAGGCCGGACTAAGGGAAGGAGACTACATCGTGGCTGTGGACGGACAGGACTGTAAATGGGCCAAACATGGCGAGGTGGTTCAAATGCTAAAGAGCTGTAGCGAGAGAGGGGTGGAGCTTAGTGTGGTCACGCTACACTCACATGATACACAGGTACTGTATGTTTGTGTTTGGGATGTGTATGGCTGCTGTTTCAACATATGTGTGTTTCCCTGTGCAGTGACCAAGACGTGTGTGTGTGTGTCTGCAGCTTGAGAGGAGGGGCATTTTGCTCACCACCAACAGCGATAAGGAAAACACTCGGCAGCGCCTGCCGGGCGGAGCCAAGGGCCAGAGCTCCGCCTCGTTGTTAAACTGGAACAGGAAGAAGACGAGGGAAGGCAGCGTGGCCACAAAGAAACTAGGAAGCACTTTCAGTTTGTCGTTTGGAAGCATCCGAGACACCGAGGCCATGTACTGAGACGTGACCGCAGAGGAACCACTCAGGGAATCACAAGGTACGATACCGTACCGGCGTACAGAACCGCTTCCACAATGACCGTAGTGCTGCGACAAGAGACATCAGCAGTGCAGTTTGTCCAGTAACATTGTTCCTGGCTTATTTCTGTTACTACAGCACAGTCCAATGCCTGTATTATGTGGCAGCAAACACACCAGGTAGTATTTTAACACTTCTATCTTGGAGAAAGAAGGTGCATCAAGAGAGAACGTGTGGGACATTTTAGATGAAGGTGGGACATGCCGCTGTTGCTCCTGCATGGCTCTGTGCTAAAACAAAACACAAAATAGGTAAAAGGGGCAGATGCACAACTGATTCCTGATGTAAAGAACCAGTCAGTCACGGTTTGGGAACACTTTCTCTCTGACTGGTTCTGTACATCTATCACCAGTTGGGGTTCTCTGTGAGAAAGGAAGTCACAGACTGTCAAATAATGAGTTCATCGAGGTTTTTTCACAATCCAAGCAAGGGGTGACTAGTAAATGTATAAATGACCAGCAAATTAGGATTCCTACTTCAAAGCAAACCTGGCGTGCAGGTGTTGACAATGCAGCCAGCTTGTGAAATCTTACTGAAAGCTCCTCTTTAATTCCTTCTTTTTACGTTCTTCTCATTAACATGACGACACCTATTTGTTGTGTGAAGTTCGGGGCAAAGCAGAAGGAAAAAGCAAGCTCCATATTTCTTGTCTTATATTTTCCTTAACAGGTCTCTGAGGGTTACGGACCAACAGTCCTGTGTAACCACTTAAGTGCTCCAGGTTTGGATCACTTCAGTTGCTGATACTTTACACTGTAAGTCCACTATTATGACGTTTGAGTTCTTTTAGTTGTCAGTTTTAGATGATTATGAGCACTTCAGAGGTTTTGATCCATTTTATTTGTAGTTTTGGTACTTCCATGCACTGTGAATCTGTTTTTAATAATATAGTTGTCTTAATAATGAACATGTGAGAGATTGGGAGTTTTTTATTTTCTATGAATTGTGATATCGTATTGTGGGAGATACTGCAGGAAAAGCAAATGGTGTCCAAAATGTCAAATTTTTGTAAGAAGTTTTGTATTATCTTGTATCTATTGTGTCCTTAATGGTTTGAAGAACAGTCCAGCCACTGTACTCTGTTACAGTCTGCCAATATAAGAAAAACAATACACGTTGTTGATTACCGTTGTTTGAGCTGTCTGATGTACCTAGAAATGTGATGAATTGTAGCACATTACTGTTTGGTCCAGCAACAAAGAAATGCTGCCTTTTGTTCTTTCTTTCTGTACAATGTTTGTGCCATGGTGGTCCAGTGAGACGAGGACAAATAGCCAGAGGTGACAGACACGTTTTCACATGATCACATTTCTGCATTAATGAAAAGTGAAGCGATTCCAGTAAGATTGTGATGGAACGGGATCTTTTTTTAATCCTCATTAGGATTCAATTCATTTCAAATTTCAAGAAAACAAGTTTGTCACGTTATGATCAAAGCTCCTTTCTGAATAACGGAGTTTTCTGTACTGTGTTTGTCAAGTAATTAACTGTCTCTTATTTGTATTGACTGAATACCTGACCATCCCTGAATGACTCATTTGGGGATTTGCACAGTCTTTCTTCCATTGAGGAATTCAATAAAGGTGAATAATAGCATTGTGACTCTGCCTGTTCTCAGAACTACCTCAAAACGTACATGCAGTAAATGTCTCTATAACACCCAAATGTCATTTATACGGTTTGGTTTTATTTTATTCATCACACTACTTTTTTGTTGTTGGTTACTAGCAATAGTGGTGACTTGACATTGGCTTTATTAAGATACTACGGTGCATATAAACCATCCATCCATCTTCAAACCTTATCCTGCACACAGGGTCGCTGGAGTCACTCCCAGCCAACTTCAGGCGAGAGACGGGGCATAAATACACACGTGGACAAAATAGTTGGAATGCTTCAGTTAAAAGAAAAAACCCAAATGGTCACTAAAAAACGAATAAAGTAATAAAATCAAAAGTTAAGTAATAAATAAAAACGTACTGAAAATTAACCAACGGAAATCAGACATTGCTTTTGAACTGTGGTTCAACAGAATCCTAAATGGCAAAGGAGAAAAACTATGGTACCCCTCAAAGTGAATAATTTGACTGTAAGGACATGTTTTGGGGACATGAATGTTTTTTTAGCTGTCACACACACACACCTATCAGCCTCACCTCACAAACCGTAGGTCAATTTTACAGACTTCATAACAAACACATCTATTGTACTGGACACAGTACAAAACTTACATCGAAGGCTTATTTACCAGCACGAGAAGAAAAAGTGTGGTAGATTCAAAAGAGGAGGAGGAGTTTGGAAGAGGGTAGGAAACAGTGGCCTTTATTTATCATAGAACTGATGAATATCTCATTATTATCCTGCAACAACAAATGTATACAAATGAAGGTGTGTAACACAAATACGATTATTATTATTATTAAGTCCCAGGCAGAGTTCATGAGATACTGCTGGTCTCTTAAATTTTCATAGCCTCTCTTCTCCGGTATGAAGAACAGGTGTATCCGCATGGGAGGGGCTGAGCAAAGAGCAGATTTCACTCTGTAATTTTCAAAGACCACCAACGATTCCATGGCATCCGACTGTAGGCGCGCTGGTCGGTCTCCTTAGGATCCCCCCGGGGCCACCGCGGACCCCAAGCCGCTCTGTTCCAGCTCCGCTATCACCAACATGTGTTTAAAGTCTGACGGGTGCTGGTTAAATGTCTCTACCAATTGGTACGTCTCCTTCCTCTGCGTGCCGTAGAACAGCTGCACCTGATTCGCCAAGCACTGAGCCTGGTGCACGGTCTGGGGGGGGGGGGGTGAGGACGTGTTAACATGCATCCAATGTTTGATTCTAACATTCTTCAAGATTTTATCTTATTGTTCTAACAAAATTCCACAAAATTATGTTATGCGTCTACATATTAGCTATAATCAGTATGATGCATGACGGGAAACCTCCCATCGCTGCCATACATTTAGACTGTACCTTGACTAAAAGAACAACAAGAACAAATTGAAGCATTGAAATTGTACTTATAATGCCACTTATCTATAGCAAATTCTAAATTGGCTTATTTTATGAAATTGCACTTTCTTGTTTCTTGCTCTTCTGAGTCTGCATCCCTATAGTTGAAATGCACTTATTGGAAGTCACTTTGGATAAAAACGTCAGCTAAATGACATGTAATGTAATAAATAATAATTGTGCTGTGGGAGTGCATGAAGGTAAAGGACTCACAATATTCTTGGGGTCCAGCTCGGCTGTCATGAGGACCACCCCCTTCTGGTCCTTGAGGTCTGCGTAGTGGTAGAGGATCAGCTGACTGGGAGCGTTCTCGCCGTGCATCTGGACATCAATAAGATGAACTAAAACCTCAAGCTTACATGAGCCAAGAGTCTTCATAATCAGAAGAAAAGATAAAACCCTTTTGTTTACTCATTATAAGGGCAACATATTGTATGTATGCCATTGATTTAATGATGAAACGCCCTATAGTCCTTGAATTAGTGTTTAAGAGCATGTGACCTTAGACATTGCAGGTGTCTCTGTAACTGCGTGTTTGGAAAACTAAACAATGAGGTAGCTTTAATAATATGGACATTTATTTTAATGAGGTAGGAGTTGGTCAAGGGGGATTATATGGGGTACTTGTCCTTAATAATGTCGTCACACAGTTTGAGGGGTACTGCAGTGGGCGGGGCCAGCAGCAAAGGGTGTTTCAGCCAGTAGCAGGTTATACGTGGCTTATGGATAAGAACCTCATACAACACCACTTCAAAACAATCAACTGTACTGTTTTTTATTTTCATTTATTGGTGCAGGTTTTTTCATGGAGACCTGATAATTAGTTCAATCCATTAATCACCGCCTGATCTCTATTAAATTCCAGACTTTAAAACATGAAGTCATCACAATTACTTTCAAACCTAAATAGAAATCTATTCAAAGGAAGAAAAATAATTGCTTGAGATGAGCCAAGACTCAATTTATCATATTGGTGCTTTTGCAGGATTATAAAAAGTGAGTTGTTTTATTTTTATTATCAGATCATAGTGACGGGTTTTTCAGCTATAAATTGGTGAGTTTTTTTGTTGGAATATTATTCCCCTCTCCTGCTTCCTTTAATGCCATGAACACGCTGTTCCGGATAGAAAACAAGGATACAAATCTGCAATTATCTTCAATCAGGTACCAAACAAAATGTTTCCCTGCATGTGTCTAGTTGTTTTGTATCATTGTTGCCCATTTACAGTGAAAATGTATCAACTGGGATGAAGTTGGCACACAAGAGCCCAGTGAGCGTCAGTCTTTCCCAGCAGCACGTGAAGGAGTCGTGTGAGGTGGCTCACCTGGACGTTGATGAGGGAGGTGAAGTGGAGCTCGTGTCCGGACCACTGACCCAAAAAGAACTCGTAACCCTCCTTCTGAGGCAAAGCGTAGAGGAACTGAGGGGAAAGGGGGGGGGCGGGTAAGTGGTTAATATGCGACACTGATAAACACAGTTCTCCACTTAAGTTCACATTTCAGTGTGAGCAGCAGTGATCTCACCATCTGGCACGACTTTGATCTGCTCAAAATCAACTCGTACATCGGCGTCTGCAACATGTAGAAGACCGGTTATTAAGTCCATGGATTATATGTGGATGGCGCTATACAACTGTTAAGTTAATTATTATTACTTTACAAGCACCATACATACATACACTAGTTGGTGAATTCAAGCCAAGCAGTGGAAACATTAACATCACATGTAAATGTTGAGACTCAAAGCTGATCTAGAATGTTCGCCGGTGTCACACTCACCGGGATGACGGCGCTGATGGTGTCTTTGGTGGAATAATAATTCATCCAAAGCTGAGAAAAGAAAACAAAAAAAGTTTTAAAATGGCTTTAAAAGGCTTCATCTACCAGAGGAAACCGCGTGGCTGAGGCGCGCTGCTAAAGACCTCCACGGACTCACCTCAGCGATCTCCTCGCCCGTCTTGTCCCTGATCATGTCCAGGTCCAGGATGGAGTCCAGTGTCTGAAGAACACGTGACAGAACAAGAACAAGTGTGGTACACCATAAACGTTCTGACTTCACATTTGGTTAATTCGGTAAAAGCTAAATGGAAAACAGTTCAATGTTGAACCAATTGAATAGATTGATGATGGAACACATTCTCACAATCAAAATAAGTTACTGGTGGATTTTTTTTTAACCATTATTCAGAAAATGTGTTTTAAGGACATAATGAGCCGTGACTCGAGTTGTACGAAGGCTTTCGTACTATTTATTGGTATCATGGATTAAAACAAAATACAAAGGCTACGGCTGCTTAATATACTCACCTTGTTCTTTGTGAAACCGCCTGATTTTCCATCGCTGGCAGCCATCTTTTCTTTTTGCTCCAACTGCAGAGATTCCCACAGCAGAAGTTGCACCACATTCACAATTCTCTTGTGACATTTTCTGTGATCCTTCTCTTATGTCGATAATAAAGATGCTCACATGAGTATTGTTTTGCGCAACGATTGAGGACATTTGTACACAAAATACCAGCAAAAGATGAAAGTTTGAAACCTTTATTTAACTTTTGACATTTATATACAGTATATATATATATATTCTAGGTTAACCATAATATGATCACAGTGTTCTGTGCTCTGTACAGAGTTCATACTGCACCTCCTGCTCCATGAGCATGACAAACTCCGCCTGTTTGGAGTGTCCCAGCACATCCTTCTTGGCCTTGTGCCGGTTCTCAACTCGGGCTTTGAACTCCTGCGGCTTGGCGCTGAGAACAAGAAACAGGGAAACATCAGCAATTCTCAAAAGGATAAATCCTTTTGGGGTCTGACCTCTGAATACCCTCCTGGTTGTTAGAAATTTAGTGAAAAGGTAAAGAGGGTCCATTTTGAAAATGAAATCTTTCAAAGCATTCATATCTATATTCAGAAACCATGGGACTGATATTCAGCTCAAATGAGAAATACATTAGTAAAGTATGTAAGTGATCATTTCATTTTTGTCGTTGCTTCATCACACTCAAATCTAAGTTACTATCAATGACATGAGTTCCTAAAAATGCCCTGCTTTTAAAAAGGTTGTTGATTGAGCAAAACATCGATACCTTTTCTCTCCAAGCCACAAACAAGTCTTTATCTTCTACGTGTAATTAGTTGTGAAAGTGTTTCCAACTCTGAAACCGAACATGTAGACAGACTATAAACAATCCCCCGGATGCTTTGCATCAGCTGGAACATCTTCCCCGATTCAACGTCTATAGATCAATTCCATAGACGATCATTCTTAAATAATGTAAATGATGACATCTAAATTGACATCCGAATTCGAATACTGCGGGAGAGAGTTGGTCATGTTTCCACAGGAATGACATAAATGTACGTTGAAAAGTAGTCACTGATTAGGTGGGGTGATGGTGTAGAAATGTAGATCGAAAATGTAATTATCGCATCCGAATTTAGATTAAATACTGTATTGTATTCTACCCAGAATTTACAATGGCCAATAACCAAATGACTTGTAAATAAGCTGTTTCAACAGAAGACTGGTATAGCGGGTGGGAGGACATGTCGCTGGTGGTTAGCGGACCTGCGAAGCTTCTGGATTTTGTCCTGGTACTTGCTGAAGTACGGGTTCTCCTCCAGTTCCGGCTCCTTCCGAAGCGAGAAGGCCCGAAATTGCAACGGGACCAGCCCGGGGATGAGCGTTCTGATGCCAGTGGCCCTGACCGCTAACATCCCTCGGTACAAACATGACATCTGTACTATGGCCGCCGCCATCTTTCCATCGCTTCCGTCCTGCATCTATACTGCTCCGGCTGGGGACGGCTTTCAAACATTGGTTCCGACCAAAGCGACAAATCACCTTAATATGTTAGTATTGTGAAGCTGGAATTTTTATTTTTTCTAACGAAAACCAAAACGTAGTTGGTCTATGAAGGGCTGATGGGTTCTGATAAGATAGTAAGTGTACCGTCTTCCCTTATTTAGTATTTATATAACAAAGGCACTCAAACAACACGTGTCACATACTTTCAGTGTTTCTCTCACATATTTGACACTTTTCTTTCGTTTCTTGGAATATGTCTCACTAAAGTATATAAAAGCAAATGAGCAATTTCAAATTTGCTGCAGCTGATTGAAAGTTGTCCTAATATGTTGAGACCACTGGAGGTCACTGTGTCTCTTCATTGAGGACCATCTACACGTGGAGGGAAGCTTCTGAATCACTGCAGTGATCTACCTCCACAAACACAGCTCAGATCGACAAATACATAAATGAGAAGATAAGTAGACTACGGTAAACAATCCGCTCAAACTCTCCAGAGGCCCTTACTGATCATCTTTACCTCTGTCTGTGTGTGTGTGTGTGTGTGTGTGTGTGTGTGTGTGTGTGTGTGTGTGTGTGTGTGTGTGTGTGTGTGTGTGCATGTATGTGCACTAACACACTAGCTGTACATTTTATGACTTGTGTGTTTCCGTGATGACTGTCTGAGTGCTTCTGTGTTTACTTTCTGCAATCATTTTCAATCACTAATCAATAAATGAAGCCGCTGGGAGCTGTTCCGGGTACATCTGGGTCCTAGCAGAAGATGGTGGCTGGTGTGTATGTGTTTATATGTGTTTATATGTGCAAACGTAGCAGCTGTTCAATTCCTCAACACTGATAACATTGTTGGATGTGGTTCAAAACGGTTTCTTTTTGTGTTTGGGTTAGTATTTTTGTATTGTTTTGTTTTTCAAAGTAGGATCAGTATAAGTTTCTACTTCCACTGATGTTAGTTTTTTTTTGTTAGATGTATGTTTTTTTTTTCTTTTCGAAAATGTGTGGATACACGTTGACATGCTTGTGAAAAAGGGTGTTAACAGCGTACAGTGTTTACTAGAGGTGGTGGTTTCGGCGCAGTGTTACCACATTTAGGTTGGTGTACCAATTCATCGATCATTTGTTAGTTTGTCCAGCGTAAATTCTTCTCCACACTACTGGCCCCATTTGCTTTATTTGTTTGTGCTCACGATGGCTGTGCATGTGCTCAATGACATCTCATGGTTTGGGTGATTTACAATTTTAAAAAAAACATTATTTTTTTCCCATCCTCATTGACTGCTGAATCCTAACTTATCGTAACCAGCTCCCATGGCCCCAAAAGTGATCAACAGAAATGAATATATAGGGTTACATATAGTATGTATAGTATACATACTGTATATCTCGGCGAATTGATCCCTGTTAACGGTTCTAACGGTGTGCTAATGGAAACTGCTGTCCTATCACCTGTTTATTGTGTCTCTTTTATTCCACGACCATACACCCTGTCCTGCACTTCTTGTTCACGCGCCCCCAGACTGACTTGGCAGAGATCTGCTCCCTACAGAGTGCACATTTCTATAAACACTTGGATAGTTACATTGAGAGAAGTAAAAGTGGTAACTTTCCTGTTGTATCCGTTAAAACAACAAACATCTTCACTGAAATCTTGCGTGAATGAATAACAAATCTCACTAATTAAAATGATCCACTCGGTTCCTCGGATTGATTTGAACTCTTCTAGACATTAAGGTCTCCGACTTTATCAGTCTCAGTATCTGAAATTGCTGAAAATATATATTTTTTAAGAATTTGACTTTAAATTTGACTTTAAAAATGAAATAAAACAAAAAGAGAATCGACAATTGTACCTAGAAATAAGCAATACAAAATTTATTTGAAACAACTGCGGGACTGTGAATTCATTTTGTTATTTTGCGGAATGCATTCGGCCGGTTTGCATGTGACAATGAGCATGTCTCTAGACACTCCCTCTCTTTTATCTACTCTCTGCTTCTGTTCTTTCTTCATTTCCACTCACTGACCAGCTGCCTTCCCTCTCTCTCTCTCTCGCTCGCTGCATTCTCTCGCTCTCTTTGTCATGGGGGTCCTGCGTGGAGGATGTATATTTTATGGGCGGCTCTGGAGGCTTTTACCATTAATTATAGAAAAACACTAAGCTCTCCATTTGCTGGACAGATGTTATTTTTTACTTAAGGAGAGAAAGGGGACTGCTCCATAATTCAGAGGTAATCCCGCTCACCAGAGAACAAATAAATAAATGAATAAATAAATAAAGCAAAAGCAAAAACCACAAACATTTGGTACACTGCCGCTGCATGCTCAGACATGTAACGCAACGGCCGACACACACGCACAGATTTTCTGTGTTCAGCCTTTAAGTGCTTTCCATGTAATAAATATGGAACAGATGCTTTATCATTTCATTTTTTATTCAATCTACTTCCCCCAAAGTATTTCACAAAATCAAAATAACGCACAAACACACTGGCAAACAGAATGCAACTTTTTCTGCTTCAGAACACTAGATGTGAAAAATTGGAATTTCGAACCTGAAAAAATCAGTACGGAATCTGAATAGTAATGCAAAAAAATGTCAACCAAATAGAGAGCGTAAATGAACACATCGAACCCTTTTCAAACCTTCCAATCTGCGTATATGATTACAAACTGAAAAATGAATTGACATTATTTTTGACAGTTGATTTAGACTGAAATGATTGACTGAGCGCTGCTTTTGCATGATACTACAAAAACTGCACAGAATGTAATTAGGTGGGGAAGGAGGGAGGGACGGGGGGGTGAAGTCAGACCCATGACCTCAATATATCTATAATTCAACTGTTTCTAGGTATTTCATGCACATGTTAAAACTGATTGATTACTTAAATAAACATGTAATAATAGACTGCTTGATAATGAACACAAGCCCTGAAAACGCTTGATTGTTAGATCTACAGAAAAAACTATCCAATCATTATAAAATAAATTGGAAATCGAATATGTCAATATTTATATGTATTAAAGAAAGGATTAAATATGTTCTTCAGTCAAGGAACCGGCTATTCAAGGCATTATGATATATTTTGGTAAACCTCCTAACCCCCTAATCTTCATTTTCATTTAGCAACTCCATCTTCTGATGAAGCTCATGTGTAACGTCAGTGCTACAATGCGCGGAATTGTCTAGAAATTTACCAAAATTTCAGCCAGATGTTTTTTTTTCTGGATATTTGAGTTATTTAGATTTGGACGTTGTCCACAGCAGCAGAAACTTTTGTAATGGCTCAACCTCCCGCTGATCAGTGGTGCGTGAGAACTTCTTTAGGGGCAATTATAATGCAAATATGCACAAGACATCTTTGTCTATCAATTGGTATGAAATCACATATAATCAATGTGAAGTGTTAGAGCAAGCTGAAGCAGAGCATACTGAATATGTGATGGTGTTATACAGTGTATAAAACCAAGGATTTCATTTCATTCAATAAGGAGCCACGTGGTGAAACTCCAACGCTAAATAAATGTGAAACGGCTAAAAATGCATATTTATTCCAACACGGTTTATTAAAAAAAAACATTCTGCACGGTGCAGTAGCAGCTCAGTGTAATTGAATGTGCATGTCGTACTCTGCCATCAGTGTGGAACGTGTGTTGAGGTTTGATTTCAAGCCTTAGGGTCTTTCGGGGTCTTGGGACCATTCACTTACCCTCCCTCCGGCAAGCTGAAATCGCACCCCTGGGCCAGTGGATGACCCTTTTCCACACCTCCTGCACACACACACACACACACACACACACACACACACACACACACACACACACACACACACACACACACACACACACACGCACACGGTTAAGCACTCACTCCCATACACACTTGGTTCAGGAGGGTCGAGCTTGCTGGAGGAATCCCATCGTTTTAGAGCGGTATCCCATTAAAAGTGCATGAGTGTGTCTGTCTAGGAATCAAGACACCCACTCAGCTGCTCAGCCGATAGCTTTGTATGTATCTGTTTGTGTGTGTGTGTGTGTGTGCATATATGTGTGTGTTATTCATCCATGCAGAGAGTTATTAAGGCATCCTGTGACAGGCATCGCTCACTTCATGCGGAACCCTTTGATGAGTTGTAGGAGGTCTGAGAGTCATGCAGGTTTCAGTCATGCACAGACCTAATTCATTTCGCATTTACGCCCTTCCAAAAAGTTCAAACACTGAACCAGCAGCACACAGAGAACCGTAGAGAAGAGTAAGGATGCTGGGCGATGCCGGAGCAAAAAGCGACACAATAGCAGAAGCTGCCCACTGAATTTGCAAGACTCAAATGTTTTTCTTCTCTGTCAAATGATACAACCTTTCCACCATGAAGGTCTCCGTCAGGTCAAACCACTTCTCTGGGTTCTGTCCGGTCCTGCGCCTGATCTGTATAATATCAATAAACATTGGACGTATAGACAATATCCACTTATTTGCTTTAAAAGTGATATTGAACCAAGTCTAATTTTACAAAAACTTTAGCAGCAAAAAATAATAATAATTTTGCTGAGTTTATGAATTGCCAATACAGCTAATAATTCAGTCATCACAATTACATTTTTAAAATAGAAAGATATCTTTCAAACAATCAATACTGAACTGCAACCGACTAGTTGTTGCTTTTTTATTTAGGAAATTCTATAAGATAATTAGATACATAATTAATTACTAGATGTCATTTTCAAAGATTTTTCAAAAGGGCATGACAAAATGTAGCCTTTGTGATTTTGGGAGATTTTTACATGGAAATTATAAATGTTGTAGATGACAACTTATTGTCACATTAGCTGCATAAACAGCCCATGTACTCACTTGTATTTGTCAAACCACATTGGCATAAACAAGTGTAATTTATGTTTTCTTTCCTCACACCTTTCCAAGCTGACGAAGATGGAGGATAAACAAATGAAAAGACAAAGCTCACGCTTAGTCACAGTTCGTTTATCTCAC